TGAATGCGAAACTTAATAACAGAGATGGTTCATAGGCTTTTAAGTTATTTTTTGTCACGCAATATGGAACAAATATACACCTGAATGAGTCATAGCATTCATAATACGAACTAGTTAAATATATCTTAATAACGTTTAGCACCCAAAATATTTCGTTTATCTATGTAAATATTGTATGTTAAAATTAATATTTAAACAGTCTGGCTAGTGTTATTCATTATGTCCTTCATTTCAACGTTTTTCTAGGATTAAGAAAACGGAGCGAAAGCAGTGAGTCAGAAAACCCCTAAATAATCCCACATTTACAGTTCAAATTTAGGAAATATTAAACACTATTCATTGAATACATGTTAATTCATTGTAAAATGAAGAGAAGAAACCTAAAGTATTCCAACTCATAAGGCTCATTCCATTTGGTGTTCCGAACAATAACTAACCTCTACAACCAACATTGTTATATTAGAAGCTAATTCATTTCGATGAGAATGAAAACTATGTTCACTCTTCTTACTCGGATTCCGTTCTCTATTGTGACTATTTCTTGGGGAAAATTAGCTATGAATAAATTCTCTTACGTTTGCAATAATTCTGTTGATGTGTTGTATTAAATATCTGCATTAAATAACAGGACTCATATGATCGTAATAATATTGACAAAAGTGTAACATGATTGGCCGAATGTTGCTCAAATTTTCATTGGTCATATTGAAATATGTAATACAGACAACAGATAATTGCAGTATATATTTCACATTTTCTGCTTGAAAATACGTTCTTGAAACTGACTACGCTTTGTATTGTCAAAGGTGGATTAAATTAGGTGGAATTACAGCATGAATTCTAGGTTAGTTTTCAAAATGTTCTCACTACTATTCAGTTTTTTTTATCTCTTGTGAATTTATAAAACGCCCATTATTGAAAATAAACTGATTAGAACAATAGATAAGTTTAGAAAGTCACTAGTTGTATAGAAAATAGACTTTAAGTCATGAGTTGTTAATTTATTTTCGGTTGATTGACACTAGCTGAGTGAAATATCCTAACAGCCATCCAACATGTTTTTTTTGTCAATAGAACTAATAATATCACCGTACCATGTGTGTGTAAATAAGATATTTTTCCTTTCTCTAAAATATTCTGATGATGATGTGTAGAACTAAGCTTGCTACCTGTTTGTTTTGTCGTAAACTGTTTCAACAAACTGTTAATAACGATGATTTTTGATTAAGTAATTCATAGGGTCATAAGAAATGCTTGTTCGAGAATTCATCGAGAGTGAGCAGTATGATTATATAGAGATTTTTGTGTTTGTTTTATATATTCTGAAAAAGGTGTTCTTCTCAATCACCAATTTTGCTGATTTTCAAAAAAAAATTCTGGATATTTTTACTGATAAGCTTCAGGTTAGGGGAAAATATAGCGATCGAGATTGACTTTCATTTTTTAGATAAATCGGATTAATTTAGCACTGACGTTCCTGTTTCTTGAGACATGGTCACACAATGTAGGCTATTAGTATTTTCTCATAATTACTATTAGCAAATGACCATGATATACTGGTTTCACAATTAATCATTAACAATATAAGTGTATAACACTGCTATTAATTATATCGTTACGGTTTACGGTACTTCTTATTTGCTGATGTCTTCGATAATTAGCTCAGTAATCCTGTAATTGCTGCATTTTTTATTGAGATATCATTCTAAAATGTGTCAGCTGTCAATTCATCAATGATTAGAATTTGTTTATTTATATTCACCGGTATATTAGGTAAAATCTCCTGAATTTCTCAAGTCAAATCAACATACATCTATCTTAATTTTTTCTAATTTCAATCTATTCACATCTCCTATCTTTAAATACAACATACTTTACTTTATGGTTAGTGTTAAACAAATTCTACCATTCAAAAATATACGGATCCCTTATTTAATAATTATTTGTAGATATTTACCATATAGCAAAATTTTAGCATATCTTGACTGAACTGATAGCAGGGCTTTATCATCATAACTCAAAATTTAAATGTTCAGTGGCAATGCAGGAAATAGTTTATTATAGTAACCATAAGAAAAAGCTAGTAGCTAACATGAAGTATGACAGCAATTAAATTAATAAAATAAAGGATTTAATTAAACTATATTACGTCGCATCAAATTGTATGAAAAGCATTGATAGAATTAATTAATGAGCCTTTTTAATTAATTGTATCATATACAAAGTATATAAAATTAATTTAAAATAACACTTATCAAGAAACGGTACAATGTATTCAATTCATTGTAATTTAAGGTTTAAAATGTAGACAATATTTATTATTTCAACAAATGGTTAATAAAAAGGTTTTAATATTTATGCATAAGAATATTGAATTTAGTTTTTTAAATTATTGAATTCTCTCTTTTTGTTTACAAAAACAAACATGAAATAGGCAGCAATCAAAATAAAATTGTTTCTTGTTTATACTGTAAAACTTATCATTAGTTGAGATTATTCAGTATTTTTAATTTATACAGATTGTAAAAAAACAGAAAATTCTAATTGCATTGTTGTTACATAAAGGAAAATTAATAATCCGTTTGTTTTAAGTACTGTGATATTGAACTATGAATTAGCCAAAAAAAAATTGTAGAAAAACAGAGATCAGTGTTATCTCTTCATCAATACCAGCTGAACTGCATCCACCGCATTAGTGATATAGTGACTATGTAAATTGCTTGATAATTTAGCAGTTCCTGCAAGTTAAACATAAGTATCCATTATCAAATGATATGGTCCCTTACAATCTACCACATAATGTTGTTGTATAAATTTAAATTCCATGGACACCTATTCATCATTTTTCGGTTTATTCAGTTATGTCGCATGAACTTTCACCATAGGTGATTAAAAAAGTCAGTTAATTTGAAAATTCCAAAACACCTACAATTTTATTCGTTTTTGAGGAGTTCAGTTTTCTGTTAAATTGTAATTTATCAAGTGAATAAATGTATTAGTAAACTGTTTTAACTTAAGTCAAGTTGTTACAATAATCTAGATAGATTGTTTTACCATTTATCAAATCAGTACTTACGTTTGGAATGCAAATAGGTCCTAAATATGTTTGTGTATTTATGTTTTATCTAACTAGTTATAAAAATATACAGCTTCTCAGTTCTGAATAATCTAATTCACTAAGTGACAAGGCGCTGATTGACAGAGTACTATATCTAATTACTCATTAACTAACCCATGCCTGTTACTCCTCGTGAAGGAGTATAGGCAGCAAACCAGCAGACTCCATCAAACTCTGTGTTCGGCAATCCTTTCCAGTTGTTTCCAGTCGCCATTCATTCTCTTCATGTCTACTTCCAATTTCCGATACTGTGTGTCCTTTGCTCTTCCACTTTTCCGTTTCCATTCAAGATTCCAAATAAGCACTTGCCTCGAGATGCAGTTTGATGATTTCCGCAATGTATGTGCATTCCACCTGCATCGTCTTTTATCAATTTCCTCTTCAGCTGGAAGCTGACCTGTTTTCTGCCACAGTAGACTATTGCTGTTGATATTCAACCGACACAGTTGTTTAGAAATACTTGTACATTTTTGATGATGGTTGTGACAGTTCTCCACGTTTCATCTCCGTACAGTAGGACTGTCTTAACATTCGTATTGAAGATTGTGACTTTGATATTGGTTGACAGTTGTTTTGAGTTCGATATGTTCCACAACTGTAGAAATGTTGTTCTCGCTTTGCCAATCCTTGCCTTCACGTCTGCATCAGATCCTCCTTGTTCATCGATGATGCTGACCAAGTACGTGAAAGCTTTCACCTCTATGACACTTTCTCCATCACGTGTGACTGGGTTGGTGCTCTCTGTGTTGTATTTGAGGATCTTGCTTTTTCCCTTGTGTATGTTGAGGCCTGTTGATGAAGAGTCTACTGCTACACTGGTTGTCTTGACCTGTAATTGTTGGTATGTATGGGTTAGAGGGGTTGGGTCATGTGCGAAGTTTAAATCATCTGGTTGCATATAAGCTGTTCGTTGAATTGTGTGCTTCCGCTGATATGTCGAGGTCTTCATGATCCAGTCAGGTACTGGAAGAAAGAGGAAGGATGAGAGGTGACAGCTTTGAGTTTGTCAGTATCTCGAAGGAAGGCTGTACTTATTCTTTGTAATGCTGTTTCCCCAATTGTCCAGTGCTTCTCCAGCTCCAGTTTCATCTTGGCAACTCTCAAGTGATGATCTGACGTTATGTCAGCTCCTCTTTCAGTTATAACGTCTCTCATCGAGCTTCTGGACTTTTAATTGATACGAATATGATTGATCTAGTTCTCTGTAGTGTGTTCCCGTGAAATCAATGTAGCTTTGCATGTCAGTTTGTGGAGGAGTATTGTGCCACCTATAGCCAATTTGTTGCAAGCCCATAGTTTATTAAACATGTCGACATTCTCGTTCATTTCTTACATTCCGTGTCGTCTCACGATATCTTTATGTCCAGTGTTGTTCACCCAGACCTTGAAGTTAAGATCTCCCATCAGGAAATTCAGCTCCTTTCCTGAGCACTTTAATATGACCGATTTCAGTCTCCCATAAAACTGATCTTTATCGTCTTCATTACTATCATTCATGAGTTCATAGCTGCTTAACTTCCGTTTTAAAAAAGAATTTGTTCTGGTTCTTTTTCTCGTAAAGTGTTTTTCTAACAAAGGAACAACCTTCAATTTAAAAACACGCTGATTAGTGTCGTAACAGGATCACGTTCTAGGTTTTTGTTTGTTATCATGAAAACAACTCATTAAGATGACTTTTAAAACTTCCCGTTTGCTGTAATGAAAATTCACTATTATGAGCAAAATATAAATATTGATCTAACAATATTTTATATCTGAATGTTGTTTAATGACAGAATCATAATGAAACCAGTTTCGTTTGTTATAATGATAAAGAAGTATCCTGTACCTATCAAAGTGTTGAGATATATGAGTAAATAGAAAACCTCTTTTGAAGTGCATAGTTATTTGCTTTTAGTTTAATAGAAAATGAAGTGATCATTACATAACGCATTGTTTTGGGAAGAAATACAGAGATTTTCTTTGATAAATGAAAGTGTATTAAGAATCGCTCATTTTATTATTCCAAAAAAAAATATTTCATTTAAATTCGCCTAAATAAATAGAATATGAAGATTTGTTTTTCAGTTCCTTTTGATTTGCAACAACCCTTGCTGTGATGCATTGATAATAATTCAGATCTTGGTTTTGTTTAGATTACAATGTACTCTGAAAGATCAGCATTTCAAAGTTTACAACATTAGTCACTGTCTTCTATTGTCATTTGTTTGTTTATAACACTTCTTAAGTAATAGTAAGTTGTTGAGATATAAATTAGAAACTTATTATAAAATTGATCTATGATTCGTTTTGTGTAGTTCAATCATTTTCTTCGTAATCGCATTCTTAAATTAAAAATCTCTCCATATTGAAAGACGGAAAATAATTTTATGTTAGTTTTCCGACCTATCTCAATAAATGATTTTTTACTTGAAGTCAGAATATTAAACAATAGCAATAGCATGACTGTAAAGTTTGAAAAAGTAAACTGATAAAAACTGTGAAAAAGTTTCCTAAAGTTTATTAGCTAAAGTAATTTTCAATTAGTGTACTAAAATATACTAAAATTATCTATTACATCCGCTTTAATGTGAATTAATCAAAAATTAGACATTTTCACGAACTCATAGATCTATTTAATAATGGTTAAAACCACATAATTGAAATTATGTGCCATATGAATAGCCATAAATAATAAAACTTTGAAGATGAAATAACCAAGTAACAGATGACTGTAGTATATGTGAAATATTTTTAAACATTTTTATTGTTTGTATACCACTAAATTCATTAACTCACAAACATCATTTAAATAGTGCAAATATTTATCCACTTGAATAATGGTTAAAGAAAATGGTTTATTATATTGAGTGTGGTCATTCCAGAAAGTTTTAAGATAGTTAATTTAATAAAAACAACATTCATTTTACTGGCTATCTTCTCAATAATATTCGGAACTATTGTGTGTTTTAGACATAATTCGACAGAAAATGTATATTTGTGACATTTTAAATTTTTAAATAAAATAGTTTAGAAAAACAACGAAAATCAGATTGTGGATTTCCTTCCTGAAATTAAAAATAGTTTATTCTTAGGCTCTACTTATAGTGAAGTTACAACTGTTGTTTATTATCTTTGAAGGCTTTTGGGTGAAATGATTTGATATACCCTTGGCCTCATCATGAACGTATAAGATCAGCTTTTGCTTATCTTCGACTACTAGTATAGTCTAAAAAAAGCATAATATTTCAGATCAGCCATTTTGGTCTAAACACACATGTGTACCAAGCTATGCAAGTGTATACATTGTTTTTCTTAGTTTCAGTTGAGTACACTGAAGTAAATTAAGGCTATGTTCGTAATGAACTTTTTCTACGTAATGTTTCATAAAGATGTTAAAAAAGACGAATTTCTGATCTTGTTCTTGTCAGTAACAAGCGCAAGTTTGCTCTTGATATTCAGTCATGACATGAAATTTTTCATATAGATTTTTCAGAAGATATGTACCACTTAAATAAGTGAATCAATGATAGTACATAAATATTTTCTAATCTTACACTAAATTAAATAAGTTAAGGGTGGTTTGTTCATTCATTTCAATGGTTTAGACAAAAAACGCCCATAGAGAAATAATCAATTTTATGATAAATGTATCTGATAACTTGGTGATTTCATACGTATCAAACCATAAATTTTATCGACAGTCAAACAATATTTATAATACCGAAGCGTACATTTATGAAAGCAACGTAGTGGACACGATAAAATTAATACAATAAATGATATAAATATTATGAACCTTACATCCTACACCTAGGGTCTTGGTATTCTTCTGTAATATCTATCAATCACGTTCACCCATTTGACACTTTCATAATGAATTTAAGGACTAGTGTCATATAGCCAATAAGTAATAATTGTATAGAGACAAATTATGCTCAAAAATTATTTAAATAAAATAATAATAATAGGTAAGCACTCTAGTAAATTCATTTAAGTGCATGAAGAAGATTATCGTAAGTAGCATGTTAATTAAAAATAAATATTTTTTTATATTCTTTTTTAATGACTTTTGTGTCATCAGACAATACTTAAATAATAAACTACTTTTTTTCAGGAATACATTACATGAAGAAAGATACTGAAAAATGAATTCATCTATATCACGCCATACTAAGCCTCCACAAATTCAAATGAAATTATCTGAAACAAAACAACAAGAAAATGTACCAGTAAATAATTCACCAACGTTATCACAATGTACACCTACATCATCGACACCATCAGAAGCTGATGAAGAAGTACGAATAGTGTTTTTAGGTTCAGCTAAAGTTGGGAAGACTTCAATCATTCAACGTTTTCTCCATAACCATTTCGAAACAAAATATACACCAACCGTTGAGGATATTCACTTGAAAAAGTTCATAGTGCGTAATCACATATTAAAACTTGTTTTAATAGACACAGCTGGGAGTTATGATTTTCCAGCTATGTTACGGTTATGCATAAGTAAAGCAAGTGCATTTGTGATTGTATTTGCTCATGATAGCCTTGATTCACTCGTACAAGCTGGTCAGCTATTATCACAAATTAAATCTCAGCGTAAAGACTATGTCTCTCTAACTTCAAACTTGTCGCATGAGCAAAGTGAAGATTGTGTACCTAGCATGAACGTGGCATCACCAATTACTGTTGTGTGCAATAAGTCCGATTTACCAAATTCATATTCACAAATCAGTGAAGGTGCCATAATGGAATGGTTGCTTACAAATGGTTTAAAGCCATCACAATTCGTATATGTTAGTGCTAAAACAAACGACTCAATTATGTCAATATTTGAATCACTATGGTTACAAAATGATGTGAGTAAGGCAATAACGTTAGTTAAATGGGATGGTACTAGACGAGCTAGTTTGAGTAATACCCAACAAACCGGAATAACTACTAGTACTGGCAGTAATACAATCAGTAATACATCAGGGAATATGCTGCCCACTGGAATAAGAGAAACAGATTTTTCTGCGCTCAGTGGTACTGTACCTAATAATACTGTCTCATCGAATGATAGTAATATCAATCCTAATACTCTTAGTAATGAATTATCTGATATGAGTATAACTGAACGAAAGCATTCAAAGTTTCGTCAAGGAATCTTTCGTAATAGTTTGCGTTTAAGTCGAAGATCTAGTGGAAAGACAAACAAATGTAAACCAGATTTAGTTTATCTAGATTGTACCATATCTTAATAGCAATTTAAATGCTTTATTAAGGAATACATAATTAACATTTTTTTGTGAAACTTTGTATCCAAAAAAAAGTCTGGATAAAAAAATATATATGTTCTAGTTACCATCAAAAATACGTTTAAAATTATTCCATCCTTCGTTCCTTACATAAATTATCATGTATTCTTCATTGTCGATATAAAATGTCTACAAAAATTCTTATATGGTGTCTTAGAAAATATGTTGTCTATATTAGTGCGTCTGTTTCTTGTGTACATTCTGTGAAAATTTACTTATATGATATTTTTGTAAATCTGAAATAATTATCAAACAGAAAAATAAAAAAAACTTATCAAAACTCAATAAGTTTTCATTTTATTTTAATTATTTTCTGTTAACATTTCTTATAATGATACTAGTAAATTCACTTTCAGCACAATTTCATCTCATTATTTCTTTTAAGTAAATATGTTTCTAGGAATACAACAATGAAACAGTATCATGAAGATTTTACTTAACTAATTGTATGTAGCTTAAATTAGAAATTTTCAATTTCAAACATAATATAAATGATCATATTTACTCAATGCTAATAGTTTTTAACAATATAAATATATGTCCATTAAAACATAATTTTAGAAGAAAATTTTGATTTTGTAATTTAAAACGGTAAACCAACTAGAACCATAATAAATTTTAGGCGGATGTTTTGCACGTAATCTATTTTAATAATAAGTCACTATTTCAACTTGAATGAAAAACATCATACATACAATATATCACTTCTATATATATATATATATATATATATATATATATATATATATATATATATATATATATATATATATATATATATATATATATATACATCAAGTCGGTAATTATAATAATTTCTAGTAAACTAAATAGATTGATGGAAAGAAGTTAAGTGTCAATTTCCGGAACAGATATATTGATTCCATGTTTCTAAGTTAATTGGTGTTTTCGATAAAATCATACGACGAAAATATCAATTGCCTACAGTGTTTGCTAAAATCAGTTCAAACTTAAATGATGCCATACACATAAGTTGATTTCGGTTAGTGTCCATTACCACAGTTATTCTAACGATTTCAGTAATTTGAATACGGGCAAAGGAACTCCGATATTGTTTTAGCTAGCCTCTCATTCAGACATCATCGGTAAGTTAAATATGATAAAACACGTAAATTGTTAATTTATGTTTTATTTCTAACAATAATTATTGTAACTAGTCACATTATTCTTAGCATTACTAGAAAAAACGTCTTACCCCTTATCAACTTAGTTATACAAGTATTTGTATTTTCTTTTACCTTCATTAATTATTAATATTTCTATCACAAATGTAGTGATCACTATTTTTCGGTAATTACTATGAATTCTATCATTTTGGGTACCCTTTACAGTAAGAATATGGACATGTTTCTCATTCTAGATTACATCATGATCTCTCTCTTATTATCATAGTCCATCAATTGAACTTGTATGAATTTAGAGGGCACTTGTGATTATTCACTAGTAAACGTGATATTTTGAGTGTTACACAAACTCACAATTACTTCAATATAGAAAGTAGGTCGGAATTTAGAAAAATAAACTGATCGAAATAATAATAATAAAGGTTATTTAATAAGACACGTGTGTGAATAACCAGCCCAGGCATGCAGAAGTATTTCTAAAGTTGCTATTTATTTGGAAGATTTAGAGGATATAAATGACTGAAATCAACTCATCCCACTATCCTTTGTTCTTGATTTACATGGAATGTTTTACTTTTGAAATAAAGTACCCAGTAGACAATAAACTATTAGCATGCCTTGTTCACTACTGTCAATTAACATTGGATGACTTCCTTTTACTATTCATTATCATTAAAATTAATTAAGTTGATAACCATCTTTCTGAAATATAGATTCAATTGGTGTTATCATGAATAACACAGATACCACGCTTCTCATACATATTTATAATAATGTCAAAATTAGTGAATTATGTCATAAACCTATCATTTTATGAGAATTAACATTTGACAGGTTGAAATAATGAGTCAATTGAAGCTACACCACCATTGAAAACCTGGAAGCACTGAACGGCCGTTTCACCCTGGTATGGGACTCCTCAGCAGTGCGCATCCACGATCCCGCACCACGCAGGGCTCGAACCCAGGACCTACTGGCTTCGCGCGCGAGCACTTGACCACTAGACCACTGAGCCGGCATCCAACGGTGTTAATGTCTAACTCCAACTAATCCACGAAGTTGCGCCATCGTACACCATTGAATGCGCACTGCTAAGGAGTCCCATACCAGGACGAAACGGCCGTCCAGTGCTTCCAGGTTTTCAATGGTGGTCTAGCTTCAACTGACTCATGATTTCAACCTGTGAAATTTCTAAAACTCTCCACAAAACCCATTCTGATAATTAACATTTGATTAAATTTTTCGTGAAAACCAATCATTCTTATTTGTTAGTATAGGAGTTGTGGAGATTATTAAATTTTTGATTGAGATCATGAACCAATTGATGTTAGACCATCACAATTGAAAACTTAGAAGCACTAGACGGCCGTTTTGTCCTTTTGTGGGACTCCTCAGCAGTGCGCATCGACGATCCCGCAAGCGGGATCCGAACCCAGGGCCTTCGGTCCCGCACGCGAACGCTTAACCAACTGGACCACTGAGCCGGCATCCAATGGTGATAGTTTCTAACATCAACCAATCCACGAAATTGCGCGACCAACTTCCATTGTACTGAGGTAGATAACTGTCTCTACCCGACAAGGAATAGCTCCACTGGTCACGGCTTCTCACTAGAACTCCGAGAATTCCCTCACGAAGCTAGTCACTAGTGAGCACATGTTGATTACTAGTACTTATTTGTTTGGAAGTCCTCTCAGATTTAAAATGACATTTTTTGGATTACAGATGTTATTATTTATACTATAGTTTTGAACAATCACCTTATTTTTTCTCATCGTAAAGGAAGTAGGTAAGAAGTACTCGATTTTAAATTAAATGTTATGTGTAATTATGTTAACATATTAAAACATCTTGTACTTTTAAAGGTTTTGAAGCAAGATAAATTCAAACTTCAAGCTCAGTATTGAAGTCTCAACATATGACTTACTCTAAGGACGTAAAAGCGTCAGATCACTATGTCAAGCACCACCCACTAGTAGGCATTTTACTCAGCTTGGTGGGTTTTTATTGATGTTGAAGAAACACTTTGATCTACTATACAATAATACACAAGATTCTTTTTCTAGCTAAAAAGCGTGATCTTTTATCATATGCCTTATCTAACAATAAGTAATAAGATGTTCGAGAACAGTAATTAATCCCCCAGTTACTGAATACTATCAAACCTAGTAAGCTGACGGTCTAAAAACAGATATGATGTATATTTATTCTTTGTTTATGGTAAACTAACTGTTTAATTAATTTATATGGGGAGTGAACCTTCAGGAAAAGATTACCAAAGAATACATCACTTTTATCTAATATCATTCTCCATAACATACTGTCATGCGTTGACTGGAAGAAGATTGATAGGGCAAGACATGATATCGTATAGTGAAGTCTCTGATTTATGGTCAATCAATGGTTAAAAATGATCGAACCGGCTAGGTCAACCTAGTATTATTTCATTTAAGACATTAGTTTAAATAGCTTCCATTATTTTCTGTGAAATGTTGAACTTTGTAGTTTAACACCATGGACTAACTTCAGCTAGACAACTATTGAAAAACAAGAGGCGCTGGAGAGATGATTCGTCCCACCATTAAACTCCTCGTCGATGCTCTTCCACAACTCCAGCAAAGAAAGAATCCTGAACATTCAGTTCTCTTAAAAAGCGTTTAGCGTTCATACCAGTAAGTCGACATCGAATGGTTTGGATATATAATTTCAATCAATCAACTGTTTTGTGTGACCATCACTTAATGCCACTGGTGCTGTTCGTCTGACTCCAGACATTTAAATTCCATCAATCAAACTTTTTCAGACGAATTTCGTATATTACCTTGTCGGGTAAACCTCCTAAGCTATACTCCATAAATAAATTTGATAAAGGGTATGGGATTCGGAAACTTAAATATTTATTACAGTTAATCAAATCAATACAACTAAACGGAAAATCAAATGTAACTATCCAAAACTTATTACAGAATCACCGTTGTCTTAAAAAATAAATATTGACCAATCTTGGAAAAATATCTAAAGATTTATATTTGAGAATTTCCCAAATCTCAAACAATAATGTTCATCATTGTTACTGGTTAAGTGAACTATATGATATTCAAAAGATATCATTACTTTTTCCAGGTATATAGAAACTGGGGAAATTGAATGTGGTTGGTATATAAAAGTCTTCTTCAAGTTAATAATATGGTGAAAACATATTCGTTTGTAGTTTCATTATTACCCGAATCGGAGTTAGGTTCGCCTATCAGGAAATATATTCAGTATTCATAGGCAACTATTCTAATGAACAATCTTAATTTAAACAGATGTAGGTCTCTTTCTATATAATGGTGACTGATACAGAAATATATTAAGAAATTAACACGATCGTTTCACAAAAACAGGTGCCATAGTGTATTCAAAATATAAAATAAATTCTTATTTATATTAATATACTTAACCACTTGATAGTAAATTTTGTTTCACTACAGAACTAAACAAAACTAAATACAGATTAAAAATCTATTATTTTCAGACTATATAACCAAAAACAAAGTTTTAAGAATTGTTGTTCGCTTCGGATTTAAATTCATATTATGATATTGCCAGGCAATATAAAAGCAGTTTTGATAAGTGACCAGACAAAAAGATCATTTAATGAAGAGAAAACATTCTAAATTACTAAGTTGAATAATAATACATCGACGTCAAATGAACAAAAGACAACGTAAAACAGAAGTGCAAAAACTAACTGTGCAAATGATAAAAATATGAAACAGAAATGCTAAAAACAGTAGTAAAAATGAAAATAAGAAATTCCTAGCGGTTTCGTGTTAATTCAAAGTATATCAAAATTGAAGAATCATAAAAACATCTTACAAAGCATAAAGTAGGGAGATTGCAGCAGAGAATCTCATGCTTTAGTCTAAAGAAGATTCAAATGTACACTTTTCTAGAGTTTGTAAATATAATAAATTGAAAGGGTCTACACGTCTGCTTGTTCTACTTTAGCTGGCCTTCAAACTGTTTATGTAATAATAAATTATTCGTCACTTTAATTAATATTTAATATTTTGTGATTGCTTTTCATTTAAAGGTAATCCTTGAAGTATCGTAAAATGCT